CCAATAGCCCGAATATGCACTCGATCATTGTCTAAAACATAGCACCCCGATTCTAGGGTTTTTCACAAAAAATGATAACCAGGGTTAGTGTTCCACACTTAACCCCTTAAGGACTTAATCCATTAAGTTCAATATTGCATTAAGTTAATTGTAGGGGCATTATTAAGTATCCTTTAGATAATAATTAACAGCTTTAACGCGGGTCCTGACCAACTCCAAAAACTAAGGTTTCTTGACATTTGGGTTTTTGTAATTTCCAACTCCTAAAGTTAGATGATTAGTTAATTAAATAAATATAAAGTTAATAAATCGGGCACCACCTACTGCCACCTCGGGTAGTGGTGGTCGGCTGCAGTCCGTGGCGGCAGTCACCACCTCATGGCGGCGGTGGTGGTGGTTTTTGAGTTAAAATCCGGCAACAAGCATCCGATACATTATTTTATGCAGAAAAGTACATACACACATTAATTCATGCACACAGCCACCTAACAGGGCATATGGTGGCAACAGAAGGTGGCCGTAAGGTGACAGCCACCATCTCAAGGTGGTGGTGGTGGATTTTTCTTTTGTTTTTCTGGCCAAGAATGTATATACAACATGTCCTCATAAAAACATGCACATAAACCAATATACACACAGTCACCCACACACTGTGGCTGATGGTGGCAAAAAAAAAAAAGAAGCTGAAATGGAGGCAGCCACCATGGTTGGCTACCATGGTGGTTCTCTTCGACTTTCGGCCAGCCAAGATACACCATCCATTAGACACCCTGCTATTAGGCGTGTCAAACCCAACAAATAATATGGGTACAACAGACTCCAAATACACAACTATAATGCATTAAAAAGTAGTACAAGACAAGCAGGGTCGAACCACCGAGACACGGGATAAAAGTCTATACATCTTTGCGCAAGGTACTTTGGTCACAAAAAGGGGATTTATTTGCAAAAGTAAAATAATAGAAGAACAATCTACTTTAATAGCATGCACAAAATGAAATAAACTTGTAAACAATTTGATTGAATGGTTCTTGTTCTAGTTCTTAATGTTATTGTTCAACTTAATTATGACTTGATGTAATTCATGATTGTTATTCTAAGTTGGTACTGAAAGATATTAACATGCTCTAATACCTCTCGCTTGCCAAATTATCTAACCAAAACACGCTCTTTGACTAGACCTAGCTTTACTAATTCAACCTAAACACGCTCTTAGATTGTATTGAAAAACCGCATTAAGTTTTGTACAAGCTTCCCAACAATGTTCATTTCTTCTCATACGCTCGGAAGTGTGAAAACATGTGATATATGTTTTACAATAAGAAAACTCATTGTTTGTTACCAATCATTAACTTTACAGAACGATTAGGTGCCCTAAAAGTTAATTAACTGCATAAAAATTCAATTCATGAAAGTAGCCAATCAAACACAAATCAAATTTAAGGGTTCTAGTTTAAAAAAAAAACATAATCACTAGAATAGAATCACAAATCAAACATCAAATCATATGCTTCAAGTCAAGCAATTAACATGTTTTGAACAAGAACTAGAAACTAGGGTTTCTTAGCCACACATGGCTAAGAACAAATCAAACAAGAATACAGATGGGATTGAAATGTTTAATGCTTACTAAAATGAAATAAAAAGTGTTTGCAATGATTTGGTCTTCTCAAAAGCTTCAAGAATTCTCCCAAAATCACCTAATATCGCCCAAAACTGCTCCAAAAACCGTTCTGCCTCTTCAAAATGACGTTCTCCTGTTTTAATTAGTGTTCACGTGCATGCCATAAGGACATGCGTTTTTGGCATGACCATGCCTTTTGTCTATGTGTTTTTGGCATGGCCATTTGTCTTAACCATGTGTTTTTGGCATGGCCCATGCTTTTTGCTAAAAATCAAATAAGCCTTCAATGTTGGCTCCATCTTCAATATAGCTTCACCACGAGTCATGTTGCTCAAATATGAGATAATAAAGGACAAACATGACCCGTGTCAATGTGACAAGAATCGCGTTTCAAACGTAGTCCTTTTCTATGATGACAATGCAATAATGGCTCGGTTATGTCTTCATTTTTTTCTGCCATGGAATGACCGGTTCATCTTCTCTTCATGCTCCAAAGCTTCAAGTTCCATCCTCCATGCCCCATGCATCTAAGCTCCAAGCTCCACGCCCCATAATGCCTGCAAAATAAATCAAAAAATAGTAAAGTACTAGACATTCTTAATGAAATATGCTATTGCCCAAATAATTAACTAAATGCAAGAATTATGAAGTAGAATACTATGAAAGGACAGAAATAAACATGCAAAATAGGTGCATGAAATGCACCTATCACCTGCAACAACAACATACAACACGAAACACGAGCATCCAATCACCGAATTACGCACCCAATCTCAGCTTTTCTCGTGGCGGTAGGCGGTGATGGATGACGACCGGAGCAACAGAATGGATCGTTTGAGTGGTGGCGGCGACGACTAGCAACGGCCTGAACGAAAACGGAGGGAGAAGGATGGCGTTTGCGGAGAAGAGGGTGTGGTTGTGTTCGTCACCGATCACAGCAACGACCACGATGCCAAATGTCAGTCCTCGTCCTCAACAGCAATGGAAACACGACGACGATGCTCAACCTGGTGGTTCCCAGCTTCGACAGCGGAGGTGGCGGTGGCTAGAGGTGAGAGGGTATAAGGGTGGCGACTGAAGGATATGTTTAGGGTTAGGGTTTCCGTCAGGTGTTGCACTCTTAATAACGGGATGGGAAGGGAATCGGGTTCAAGTCTCGTGTTTAACCAAACTTGAATGCACTTTTACGAGATTGGGCCATGCCTTTACAATTTAAGTCTAACAATTACCAAACAGTCATTGTTTTACAAATTTCTTTATATTTCAAGTCCTAACGTTACAATATAGACCCCAAATTCTTGAAATTATATTGTTTAACTCCTTTGGCTAACACTGACTAAATTATTCCGGATTTATGACTAAAATAAAATAAAATATAAAATACACATCAGGGTTTTAGGATTTCTTATTTATTTATTTATTTTAAACAGGATTGTTATATAGAAAGTGGTCAAACGATGCTTCCATTTTCAACAAGTCATTGTAAGTGGTCCGAAAAAAAAACACAGGAAAGCTTTTAAACATATTAAGTTTTAGAATGTTGTAAAAGATTGCCAAAATAATGTGACATAAGAATATCCGAAGCACACATGTATGGTTCTCAAATGTCAAAAAGATCCGACACTTATTACATTGCGTCGGATACCATGTCAGGATCAACCTCGACAATGATGATATCATTGAGATTCCACCACCTTCTCGTCCAATAGGATGGGACAAAGCCAAACGTTAAGGTCAAAGGTAAAAATGTAAACCTTGGATAATTTGAACAAATATTTAGAGTTCACTCAAGAAAATGAGCATAGGAAAGAAAGAATTCCTTAATATGAAGCTTTTAATGCAAGACTTAGTATCTCCACATCGGAAGAATGCGAATCGACTTTAACGGTAGAAACTAAAAATTAAAAAATATATATAACATATAGTTTGTCTTTTTTATTTCTATCATTATGTTTTTTAGTTTTAATTTAATTTTAATGTAATTTCATTTTAATTTAATGAAATTATCAGTATTATATAAATTAAATTGCTTAAATAAAATAGAAAAATAAATGTAGCATGACATGAAAAACCATTTCTTGCATATGTGGCAGAAAAAAAAAAGACTAGCATTACAACACTCCTAATTTTAGAAACTACAAATATTTTCGGGTTCCATTTTCCTTGTATGAAGTACCAGTGATTGAAGTCCTGATAATTGTCGTTGATGTATGAATACGTGTATATTTATTGTAGTCTTAAGTCTTAACGCAAGATTCAGACTAATATGTAGCATTCGATTTTTTGTTTCAAATGAGGAAATCGAATCAAATGAAATCCAAACCAGAGATATGTGTCGATCTAATGACCTTAAATTAAAATCAGGGTCAATTCACGATTTAAATTACAAAAATCTTTCAAGCAAAAGACATAAACCACACCCATAAACACCGTGTATCCTGCTTCTGATGTTTATTTGAAAATGGAAAAAAGAATACCATCAATGACAAAGAAAGGCACTGATTGAAATTAGATAAATACGTATATACGTGTCATCGAAGCAGTTAAAGCTTTCCCAAGAAACTCTCTTTCTTTCTCTTTCTCTCTCTCTCTTTCTCTCTTGTTAGTTTGTCAAGAAATAAAGAAAAAGAAAGAAAAAATCTTGAAAGAAACAGGCATTAACTAGCAAAAACAGGACGATCAACCATTTGGGGTTTCCATTATTACACTTTTCTTCATTGGTAAGCACTTTCCAACTTGTGTCAATCATAAATTTTCAGTTTAAATGAAAATTTAAGACTCGAAGTTTGGAAATTTTACCTAACAATTTATGGAAAACCCCATTTGTTTATAGCTTCTATACAGATTGATTCGATATTAGCAACGGATTAATGCGAAGAAGACGACCTATTTTTTCTTGATTCTTGAAAGGCTGACAATGACAATGGTTGCCTACTTGCCTCAGATCCCTGGAGCCCAGATTTCACGTGTTCCAAGATTGAAAAGGTGGAAACTTTTTTAGGTTTTTTCGTGATTTATTCACCCTTTTTGATTTTCATGAATCCCCTTTTGCATTTACGGTTTAGATTGATGGATAAGGGTTGTTCTTGACGTTTAATTGTTAAAGGGTTTCGCTTTTTTTTGTGTGTGTTTTACAAGAATCTTGTAATCTGATATATAGATTCTAAAGAAAAAATTCCATATTCGGTGATCGTAAGATCCATTCTTCCTCAACCCCACCTCGATTTTACTCCACGATCTTATTTTATCCGTTGACTTCCAATTCGAGATAGAAAAAGATCATCAGGATTCATAATGGTTGAAGTAGCTAACAAAATTAGGGTTTTGAAAATCGGAAAAAAACTGAAGTCGGTGAAGATTTAGATAAAAGGATTCAATGGAAGAGATGTCTCCCCCTACCTCGATTACATTCAACTTAACAAATCCCATTTCCGAAAACACCCTCGGAAATCATGCGGATTTCACTCGGGTCAAACTACTCACCGGAACAGCAAGCTTGTTATCCAAGAATTGTGATATCGCAAATCAAGAAACAGACGCTGATGAAATCATGTCAATTGACGATTCCATCGATGCAAATTCAGCAAGTTTACCGATTCCAATTGCTGTCGCAATCGAGGGAATGGAAAATGATCAAGTAGTAGCGAAAGTAATTAGCTTAGGAAAAGAAACAATAGAAATTGAGAATGAAACCACTCTAACCCCATCTCTAATGGCGCTTGTTGAAAAGAATCAAAGTAAAGGATTCAAAAGTGTTTTTGAATTGGAATACATTCCACTCTGGGGTTTCCATTCCGTTTGTGGGAAAAGACCAGAAATGGAAGATTCCGTTGCGGTTGTTCCTCGTTTCATGGAAATTCCTATCAAGATGTTTGTCGGTGACCATGTGATCGATGGCATGAGTTCCAATTTGACCGATTTGACCTCCCATTTCTTCGGGGTATACGATGGGCATGGGGGCTCTCAGGTAATTTACATCTTTGTCCATTTCCAATACTTATAAACACCATAAGGTAGAGATGAAAGTATATTGCTATTTATTGCAGGTTGCCGATTATTGTCGTGACCGTATACATCTTGCTTTAGAGGAGGAACTAAAACTTGTTGCACAAGAAACCTTCAACGACACGTTACAGGTTCAATGGGAGAAAGTGTTTACAAATTGTTTCCAAAAGGTTGATGATGAAGTTGGCGGGAGAGTTAGCCGCAAAACCCCGGAATCGGAATCACTAATTCCAGAACCAGTGGCACCGGAAACCGTTGGTTCAACCGCTGTGGTTGCCGTAATTTGCTCTTCACATATTATAATTGCAAACTGTGGTGATTCTAGAGCCGTTCTTTATCGTGGGAAAGAAGCCATTGCTTTATCAAATGATCATAAAGTGAGAGTTATTTTTTTACCTTATTTAATTTTGAAAAGCGACGTATGCAAAAATAACATTTTTTTTTTAAAATAGCCAAATCGAGAAGATGAATATGCAAGAATTGAGGCGTCTGGTGGGAAAGTCATACAATGGAATGGGCATCGTGTTTTTGGTGTTCTTGCAATGTCGAGATCTATTGGTATGTTTATTTTATTCAGCATATAGTTCATGTAATCATTTTTGATATATGAAATGTTATGAACTTTAAAGAGGCTAAATGCAACAAACTATTTATTTATTTCTTAATTTGTGTATTGTAGCATCCTGTTTTTATTTCTTCCTATCACAACGTATATTTTGAAAAATCTTCCCAATCATAGCATTGTATTTTCAATTTCTTTTTCTTAATGTATTCTTGGAAAAATTATCGATGGCATTGCTATAGTTGTTATTAAGTTTTTATACTTGTTTTTCAGGTGATGGGTATTTGAAACCATGGATAATACCCGAACCAGAAGTCACATTTACAGCACGTGCTAGACAAGATGAGTGTCTTGTTTTAGCTAGTGATGGTTTATGGGATGTGATGTCTAATGAAGAAGTATGTGAAATTGCTAGAAAACGCATTCTTATTTGGCATAAAAAGAATGGTGGGACCACAACCGATAGGGGAACGGGTATGGGTGTGGGACCCGATCCTGCAGCACAAGCAGCAGCCGATTATCTAGTAATGCTTGCTCTCCAAAAAGGAACCAAAGATAACATATCTGTCATTGTTGTTGACTTGAAAACTCAAAGAAAGTTCAAGACAAAATCTTAAGTGTTTCACTTGTCTGGTTTATTGACCCTAGAATGTATTATTAAAACGATTCTTAAACAACAGAACCAGATTACTATTTTAAGAGTAAATTACAGAAATGGTCCCTGTGTTTGTTAACATAATTTCGCTCCCCAATTCCAACTTTTTTGTTCTTTCATTATCTTTGCCTTATGGTTTTGTTGAACTTTACCGTTGAAACCCATGTAAAATGATCATATTATTACTCCTCTTTTTAACGTGTCATTGTTTTGTTTACACTGGTGGCCCCTCCCTCAGGAAAGTTTATTCAAATTGAAGTGTTTTCTGTACACAATTGAAGGAATCAAGAACTCTGTTGAGCTATTTTTTAATTGGTTCTAATAGAAAGAACTCAGGAACATTGTTAAACTATGTTTTGATTGGAATTTTGCAATCGTGTAATTAAAGAAAGATGTGCAGATTCTACGAACTTCTGGAGTGCCTTTGGGGATTATTCCAACTCTTTTTGATTGTTGGTGAGCTTCGTTCTTCCATTTTCAAATCAAGGAAGCGTCATTGGTTTCATTTTTGCCCATAAAATCTACTCATAAACAAAATCATTCAATATTTTTCAAACATGAAATTCATACAACAGCAATTTATGTTTGATGCGTGAATTCACAAAATGCACTTGTAATTGCCGATGAGAACCCTTAAGGACCGTTAACAGAATCTTCACCACCATCAGGGTGGAAAAACAACAAAAATCCAAGGCCATAAATGTAATTTATTTTAATAATGAAATGATAAAAGACGGGTAATATGATCATTTTACATGGGTGTTAACAGTAAAAATTAACAGAGTTCGAGGAAAAGACTGGTATCGTTTTGTAATCATATTTAGTGAGTTGGATACGCGTATATAACAAACAAGTTATCTAAAACATAAAGAGTTAAACCGACAACAAAATGTGACAAAGTACTGTGTTTTTCAAATGTAAAAACATACCAAATCGGAATCCATAATCAGTCATGTTAATAAGAGTATTCAAAAACTTGATTAAGAACTTGATTCCCTTGTCCTGTGTTGTCGACGAAAACCTAGAAACTAACAGCAGAAAGTAAAGAGCCAAGGATGACTTCCCTTGTGAACCAACAACCACAGATTCAGGTTGTTGGTTCACCGAGTCTATTTCACTGTTCATCAGCGAAACATGTGGTGGGTTCCACCCAGTATACCACCATTGTTGGGCCCCACACTCTGTATGGGCCCAACTTGAGAATGGTATACCGGGAACCTAAGTTCTTGCTGGTGGAAGAAGCTCTCACCATTGGACACACTTGTAATCTCCGAGCAACCACCACCGCCGCCCCCGCCAGATCCCAAATCATCTTGTCCACTGATCGGGCCATCTGGTTGGCCTTCTTGTATCTTTTTCATGTTTAAAAACCTACCACCGGGCCCTCGGGCCCGCTTGAGTGCATGCACATGTCGGGATTCATGGAGATACGGCTGTCCAAGTTTTCCAAAGGGTTAAATAACAACTTTTTTTTGCACCTCAAAAATAAATATTAATTATAAAAAAAAAAAATCAAAGAAAATTGCAATGGATACCTTGCGTGGTTTTAAAAGCTTGTTTTGGGCCTCAAGTTTGGCCCGATATTGTCTCCTACGAAGAATTGCATTGTATTGTTTTGCGTTGACGTATATGGGTTCATCGTGTGCAAAATCAATAGGTAGTGGCACTCGAGTAGATGCCATGCTTATTCCTTGAGGCATCTGGTGATACGAGAACAATAAGAAGCTTCAATTTTGTAGTAATTAATTAAAATTGATTAAGATATATATTGTTTATAAACATAGTAGAGAAAAAAGGGGTATCGTGATTAATAAATAATATGATTGAAATTAGACAATTAGTATAGTAGAACTCACCATAGCTTGTGTGCCATAAGGCGCGAGTAATCCACGATAGTATGGATCAGGGTATAGAAGTGGAATACAAGCCTGAAATTGAAATGGGAAAAATCTTTAATCATAAAGATGATCAATATTTTTAATATAAAATAATCAATTGAAAAAAAAAATTCACTTACGTATGGCTGCCTGCGATCAGCTTGAATAGAAAAAGTATAATCCTGAACACCTGTTGGCAAAGCTGAACCAACACTACCTTCTTCACGTGTCACATGAGTTCCATTATACCCTGGTTTAGAGAAGTGGCAAAATGGTAAATATTGGGTATATGAATCTAAAGCGTGTTTGATTTGTAGAATGTTTAGAAGGGAGCAGAATTGGAATCGGAAAGATTGGAACTCATTTCTAAGTTGTAACCAAACACAATCAAATCCCACGAGTCCAACTAACCAGAAGCCATTAAGCTTTTCAAAATGGATTTTAAATGCTTACAATAGATTCAAATTAATATTATTCAACCACATCAATAACAATAGAAACGACTACCTGATTGAATTGAGAACTTGTTTTCTCCATACTGGTAATTTTCTCCAGCACTAGCAACTTCAGGGTAAGATTGACAAGTCGATTGAGTTGATGAAGAATCTTGATCTTGAAACTGAATTTGAAGCCCTAATTGCTTTGTGTTTTGCTGACGTGGCGTTGAAGACCCCATTTTCAAACTTAAGTTATTAGACAAAGTCGACTGTTCAACAAATGACTCAGTACCCGTCCACTGAGACGGGTACCCAACAACACCCAGATCACAATTTTTCTTGAGCAATTCCTGCATGCTTTCAATACTACCAATGGCTTCTAATATGAGTGGCTTTGTATCAAATCAAGGTTATATCGAAGATTACCTGATACAATCATAAACTTTTCATTATTTCACATGACAGATATAGAAGAATCCAAAAAAGAAAGGCTCAAAATAGTAGTAGAAACTGATTAACTTAAATAAACGAGATAATGTCGAGAATTAGATGCTTATCTTGTACCTATATTCCACTAAAGAAACAAACAATCAATCTTTTGGTCTCCACGTATTAGTGTCTTATTAAAAGCAAATCTAAGAAGTGTTCGGATGTGGGATTTGGAAATGATTATCGGATTATTTCAAATAAAGTTTTACTGTATAGGTTTAGCTGTTTACGGGTTATAGCTTTATAAATATCCAAGAAATGAATATCCGATTCTAATTATTCACGAAATTATTTTCAAATTGCACATGTACATAAGCACTCGAAAATACAAGTTCAATTTAGAGTTAAAAACATGAGCCTTGTTGACATAACGAACGAAACTTAATCTTGAGCTAGATGCGATGATTTGGGAAGGAAAAAAAAAAAAAAAAAAAAAACTGACAAGATCAACAATAAGAACATTGTAGACGAAATCAAGAATCGAAGAACAAGGATAGATTAGCAGCTATAATATCATTTTCTAGAGGGTTGATTGGGTCCCACAAAAATATTTGAAGAATGATTAAGAACTAAACAACACAAGGGTGTCTTCAAAGTCAAGATCAAGAACTAAAGACGATGGAATTTTCTAAGAAAGAAAAACATTAAGAACAAAGAACGCAGACAAAAGGATTAGATGTGTAAGAATCATATCCCTGATTTGTTTACTAATCATAGATAAAAATGCCCAGATTGGGAAGGAAAATGAAACATGCAGGTTCCAAGAATCAAGAAAACCAAACAGTTTATGAAGATCTTATAAAATCAAAGAGCTAAATCCACATAAAGTCTAACACTGAAAGAAGAACACGAAAAGGGTTTGAAAGATTAAAGATGCAAAAACATGAAAGAAGAAATTATACCCTTTGTTGGGGAGAATCCGGGCATGCCTCCTTTCCTGAAACTTGGCTCTTTCTCTCTCTCCCTTCAACTCTCCTTCTCTCTAGATATATAAATATAAGTGTGTTTGTGTGTGTGTGAGAGAGAGAAAGAGGGAGTATATATATCTGGTTATAGATTCAGAAAACGACAAAGTGTTTACATCTCCTTCGTTTCAGGGATCCGGCAGCACCATCGGCACTCAACGGTAGTAGTACCCGGAGCTCCGGCGGGTTGTTTTATCATTAAAACTGGTACTTTTTGAAAAGGAATTTGAGTGGGTTTTTGTCGTGTTGTAATGAAGAAGAGTAAAAGATTAAAATTTATAGTCTATGAATCATGCGACTTTTTTTAATTTTTTTTCTGTCGCTCTGTATCAGCCGCCCCTATAGGGCTCCGAAAATGTCGCCACGCGTTCATTAAGAGCGTGGTTTTAATCCTCTGCCCCCTGCCAATTTTACTTTTACTTTAATCTATCATGCTTAAGAAATAAGAAGAAATCCACGTTTATTTATCCTTTCGTTCGTTGATATCAAACAAATCTCTTTTTTATTATTATTATTATTAAAAGAATTAAATAAATTCATATTTCAATAATTTGTACACTTTTTCCAACTTTAAAATCATCTTCTATGTTTCAGATATTGTACCCTATCCACTAAAATGAAATGTGTACTTGTAATTTTGTTTTCGCATGGGATTTTGTCTTTTTCCTCGTTTTCTATGGTAAAATGAGATGGCTCACTGAGTTGTGGTATGATTGGATAAACATATTTGACTCCATTTAAAAAATATAAAATATATTATAACAAGTCAATATTTTTTATAGAAAGTATGAGTGATAAAATGGATGATAATTGGAGAGTGGGCTAAACGGATTGTCGTTTGCACAAGTTAAAATAAGATGGTGATGAAGAATGGACGGAGGTCAGGCGGCGCAATCCAAAACAAGATAGGTACGAAGAGATTACTACCTTCTATGTATCAGGCTTTCAAGATGGAGCAAACAAAATGGAGTTACATAGGTCATTCGAAAGATTTGGCAAGATCACAGACATATACATCTGTCAGAAAAAGAACCGGTCGAAGCAAAACTTCGCGTTCGTAAGATTTATGGGGGTGAAGGACGGGAAAACCTTGGAGGCAGCTTTGCAGGGAGTTAGATTAAGAGTTGTTCCACTCATGTCAAACATAGCCAAATACCAGAAAGAAAATCGGAGTACGTCTAGACCACCACTTTACTTCCAAGGTAAGTCACATGGGCCTCCTAATGCAAGAAATAGCTCCAGGGACTACAGAACGTTTGCGCAGGTCGTGTCCGGCAAAAACGGCCTTAACATGAGCAACCCATCCCCCATTTCGCTTAAATCTGATACAACCATGAGCAAATGGAT